ACTCCCACGGCGGAGGCACACAATGCCTGCCAGGCTGAGAAAGTCTTGCTTGGGGAGCGGCCTCAAAGCGGAACCTCCCTCGCGCTCAGAAGTCGCCCCGAGAGACTCGCGGTCGTCGGGACGGTTCATTGCCTTGAGCCAGAATGGCTACGGAGGAGGAGGAGGAGGCGGAGGAGGGGGAGGAGGAGGAGGAGGAGGAGGAGGAGGAGGAGGAGGAGGAGGAGGAGGAGGAGGGGGGGAGGAGGAGGAGGAGGAGGAGGAGGCGAGGAGGAGGAGGAGGAGGAGAGGAGGAGGAGGAGGAGGGAGGAAGGAGGGGAGGAGGAGGGGAGGGAGGAGGAGGAGGGGGGGGAGGAGGGGGAGGAGGAGGAGGAGGAGGAGGAGGAGGAGGAGGAGGAGGAGGGGAGGAGGAGGAGGAGGAGGGTGAGGAGGAGAGGAGGAGGAGGGGGAGGAGGAGGAGGAGGAGGAGGAGAAGGAGGAGGAGGAGGAGGAGGAGGAGGAGGAGGGAGGAGGAGGGAGGAGGAGGAGGAGGAGGGGGAGGAGGAGGAGGCGGAGGAGGAGCGAGGAGGAGGAGGAGGAGGAGGAGGGGGAGGAGGGGGAGAGAAGGAGGAGGAGGGGAAGGAGGAGGAGGAGGAGGAGGAGGAGGAGGAGGAGGAGGAGGAGGAGGAGGAGGAGGAGGGGGAGGAGGAGGAGGAGGAGGAGGAGGAGGAGGAGGAGGAGGAGGTAGGAGGAGGAGAGGAGGAGGAGGAGGAGGAGGAGGAGGAGGAGGAGGAGGAGGAGGAAGGAGGAGGAGGAGGAGGATGGAGGGAGGAGGAGGAGGAGGAGGAGGAGGATGGGGAGGAGGGGGAGGAGGAGGGGGAGGAGGAGGGGGAGGAGGAGGGAGGAGGAGGAGGAGGAGGAGGAGGAGGAGGAGGAGAAGAAGGAGGAGAAGGAGGAGGAGAAGAAGGAGGGGGAGGAGGGAGGAGGAGGGAGGACGAGGAGGATGAGGAGAAGGAGGAGGAGGAAGAGAGGGGAGGAGAGGGGGAGGAGGAGGGGGAGGAGGATGGGAGGAGGAGGAGGAGGAGGAGAAGGAGGGGAGGAGGAGGAGGCGGAGGAGGGCGGAGGAGAGGAGGAGGAGGAGGAGGAGGAGGATGGGGAAGAGGAGGAGGAGAGGAGGAGAGGAGGAGGAGGAGGAGGAGGAGAAGGAGGAGGAGGAGGAGGAGGAGAAGGAGGAGGACGAGGAGGAGGAGGAGGAGGAGGGGGCGCCGTCCAGGACCAGGACGGGCGGGAGGCGGCTCTGCGCGCCGCTGTCTTGCCACAAGGGGGGCAGTGGCGGGCGGTCGGCCAGGCAAGCTCAGGCACGGCCAGACAAGTGATCATGGAACGTATAGTCTGCGAATCCTGGGCCAGCTTAGGGGGCCACACGCGAACCCTACCTCTACCCCCCACGGTTTCTGAGGGGGAGGGTGGGGTTCACTTCGCTCGGAGCTCCCGAACGAAGTGAACCCCACCCTCCCCCTCAGAAATCGTGGGGGGTAGGGGCTCCCTAATAGTCTGCGAGTCCTGGGCCAGCTTCCAGGGCATTTCGTGGAACAAACTTGCATGAAGTCTGGCGTGTCCCCCTACAGGAGGTTTTTGGAGGAGAAATGAAAGATAGTCAAAAACACCCACACGTATTCAAAAATACTGAAACGTCGTCCCCAGACTATGGTTGAATGTTCGTCCTGTAGAGGGACAGGCCCGACTTGAAACTTGCACCAACATCTGCTGTGAACGCTGGGGGGGGGGGGCTTAGCGTGCTCCAGGAACGGGGCCAGCCTTTTCGGGCAAGTTGACCAGGAAACGCTGGCCCAGCTTCTCGGGAGGAGCGTTCTCATGCAGATGCTCGACTGTAGACCAGGTGGCGTCGCGTGTGCAAAAGAGCCGGTGTCGAAAGCGGCGGGTTGGGACCAGGTTCAAGGACTGCGAGCGACGGCCAGGCTGACGGGTAAAGGTCCACACCTACCTGGTCCTCCACCAAGTCTGGTACCAGACCTCCCCTGGTCCTCCACCAGACCTCCCAGGAGGCCCTCCGGCGAGGTAGGGGAGGCCTCCACCAGACCTCCCCTGGTCCTCCACCAGACCTCCCCCAGGCCTGGTGGAGGACCAGGGGAGGCCTCCAGGAGGCCTCCCCTGGTCCTCCACCAGGTCTGGGGGGAGGCCTCCGCCAGACCTCCCCCAGGTCTGGGGTCGCGGCCGTCGGAGGAGGGCTCGTGGACGACGGAGGTCTCCGGGAGGACCAGGGGAGGTCTCCGGCAGGCCTCCCCTGGTCCTCCCCCAGGCCTGGGGGAGGCCTCCGGGAGGTCTGGGGGAGGCCTCCCGGAGACCTCCCCCCAGGCTGGGGGAGGCCTCTGGGAGGCCTGGGGGAAGCCTCCACCAGATCTCCCCCCCCGGACCTCCCCCCAGGCTGGGGGGAGGCCTCCCCCAGGCCTGCCCCAGACCTCCTGGAGGCCTCCCTGGGAGGCCTCCCCCCAGCCTTGGGGGAGGTCTCCGGGAGGCCCCCCCGCAGGCTAGGGGGAGGCCTCCGGGAGGCGCCTCTCAGGCTGGGGGGACGCCTCTTCCATCGGTTCCTCGTCCACTCCCCCCTACCCCTTGGATCCGGACGGGTCGGCAGGAAGGAAGGGGGGGACGGCTTTGGGCTCTCGGGGGGTGTCCGCAGAAAGCGCCGCCGCTCGAGACGTCCTCACAACTCGGGCACTGTCGCTCGAGACTTCCTCATAACTTGTGCGCACCCGCTCGCGACCTCCTCACCGACGCTCGAGACATCCTCGCAACTCGAGCGCGTCCGCTCGAGACATCCTCACAACTCGGTCGATTGGCCACCGACCGCCCGATTGGCCGACTCCCCGACTGGACGATTGGCCGACCAGCCGACCGGCTGACCGGCCGACTGGCCGACTAGCCGACCAGCCGACTGGAGGACTGGCCGACTGGCTGACGTCCCCGGGAGGCCCTCGCAACGGGGAGCGGATCCGCTTCACTTAAGGGCCCCTTAAGTGCAGCGGACTGCGTTGTGCTTCGGGAGGCCCTCGCAAGGGGGAGCAGATCCGCTGCACTTAAAGGGCCCTTAAGTGCAGCGGACTGTTTGGGGCTCCGGGAAGGCCCCGCAAGGAAAAAGCATTTAAAGACCCTTCAAGTGCAGCGGGCTGTTTCGGCTTCCGGCAAGCCCTCGCGAGAGAAGCAAATCCAGTGCAGCCGGCTGTTTTGGCCTCCGGGGGGCCCCCCCCAAGGGAGAAGCAGATATGTGGCACTTAAGGGCCCGTGAAGTACGGCGGACTGTCTGGGGCCCCGGGAGGCCCCCGCAAGAAGGAGCAGATCTGGTGGTCTGAAGGCTTAAGGGCCCTTACATACAGCGGACTGTCTGGGGCTCCGGGCGCCCCCCCGAAGAAGGAGCAGATCCGCTGCACTTAAGGGCCCCTTAAGTGCAGCGGGCTGTCTTGGCCTCCGGGAGCCCCCCCCCCCCGAATGACGATCGCACAGTGGGCCCCCCTCGCGCGGTCGCTGTCCAACCGCCCTCGGAGACCCCTCCCACCCCTTCCCTCCTCTCCTACTCCCTTTGGCCGACTCCTCGTAGTCCATCGCCTCATAATCTGTTTCACCGAGTGCCCTCAAAATCTGTTTCACCGAGTGCCCCGAGCCTCGTATCGAACAGTCAGTCCTCTGCCGCCGTCGCCTCGACGCGCCGCATTTTGCGGGCGTTGTGCATGTCCACGCAGTGGAGGAGCACCACGTCAAAGGCAACAGGCGAAACGTTGTTCAAGGAGTGCCTGACTTTGTTCAGGCAGCGCCACTGGCGTTCCATGGTTGCAGACCAGCGCCTCCGGCGCAGCTGCACCCGACAGGGTAGCTCGGCGTGGATTAGCATGTCTCGCAAGGCGAGGGCCGTGTACCCCGACACCGCGGGCGCCCCATGGGGTGTCGCGGAGAACAGGCGCGACTCAGCAGGGGCGTTCCACCCCATGTTAAGCAGGGCGTAGCGGAGGGTCAACGTCTCCTTGCGGAGCGCGGCCAAAACGCGCGCGCGGCCGCCCTCAGATCGGACCCACATGACATTGAAAGCCTCCGCCTGGCCAGCGGGCGCCGTCGGAACGAAGGTGAGCTGCAACGGCAGCTTCCCAGTAGCTGCGGCGAAAAGAACTGCGCACGGGGGAGCCGAAGGCAACCCTTGGTCATTAATGTCGTGCAGTTGCAGCGTGCCGCCCGCGAGCCGGGCAACGAGGGCATCCCGCTCACTGTCGTCGACCACGGTCTCCTCGGTCCACTCGTAAGCGCGGCTGAACCGATCTGCGTGGTAGTGGCACCAACACTTCAGCTGCTTGTGCCCTTTCTGGTGCCACCTGTCAATGAAGCCTTGCAGCCTTTGGAGCTCCTGGGGGCCTCGCTTCAGGATGTGCGCGCGCAGGTGGCACCAGTCGTCGTAGCCCAAGACCCTCAAGGCAGCGGTCGCCCCCGTCAGCCTCTGCACGTAGGACGCGACCTGCGGGAGCGACTCCGCCACGTGAAATCGCAGCGGGGGCGCGACAATGCCGCACTCGAAAGAAGCTGCCAATACACCTCCGCTTCTGTATGCGCGGACGATGCCGCTCTCCTTCAGCGTGTTGCACCCCTCCCCCGTGGAGGGAATCGCACGGCGCAGCCGGTGTCTCCGGCGTCCTTTGCGCGGCCCACGTGCCGCCCGCTCTTCCGCCTTCTGCAGTGCCGACCGGCGGAGAGCCGGCTCTTGCGCAACATGAGCGGGCAAGGTGCACGTTAAACACCCCCGGCGCGGCAGGTTCGAGCAGAAGACCGGCAGCTGCGTCGGCGAGGGGGCGTGCGCCGAAGGCGGGATTGTGCAAATGCAAGCAGTGGGTTTCAACTTGCAGTTCCCGTCGACAATCATGAAGTCCGCGCAGTGCGCGGAGCAGATGGATGCGTGACGGGACACCCATTTGGCCATAAAATGCTGGAACAGACACGGGTGCGCCACGCGGAGTGTCTGTGTCCACATGTCCATGCCGCAGGCCCCGTCCCTCCTGTGCTTCGGGCAGGGGAGCCGGCACAGCGTGTCTGGGAGACGGGTGGCGCCCTCCCGAAGAACGTGGTCGTCCAGGGCGCCGCTCACCACGCCGCGGAGCACGATGAAGCGCTCGTACAGCTGCCAGAATGTTTTCGTGAAGCGGGAGTTGGCCTCACTGACGAGTGGGAGCGCCGCCCCTGTCCGTTCATGCCAAATGGCGCAGAACACGAGACTCGAAACCCCGCTGGCGCTGAAGAGACCGTCGAACCATAGTCCGCCGGACGCCGATCGCGTCCAAGGGCGCGCACGGCACCGGGCCAACTCGAAAGATCTCGGGGCCAATCTGGACAGCCGCGCCACGCTCTCCCATCCCCGATGCCCCCCAATCATTCCTGGGGGGCGCGGGGCGGGGAATGGGAATAGAGGGAAGCGGGGTCCGGGGGAAGAAGAAAAGGGTGTCGGCGACATGTCGGTGGACGGCCACAGAGGACCTCTGTATCAACCCACGTGTGCGGGTCGAGCGCTAGCATGGTCGGGAGGTCGTGGATCCTCAATCCCGCGTACTCTCCGATCACCCCACCTTGAGCCCAATAGGGCCAGTACTCTATTTTGCACGCCTCGCACCACGCCACAAACACAGTGCCCGTCTCAGCCGTTGCCATGCTGTACACATCGACCTCGAACTTGTCCCGCTGGACGAGGGGACCATCGCACCTGGCGCAGCTATGCCACGGACAAGCTCCGCACATGGATCGCGACGTCATGCCGGGTGCGGCGGCGAGGGCCGAGGCCCGAATTGCAGCCTGCAGCCGGCGCAGACCTTACACCAGCCCCGTGCGGCCAGCACAAACACTGAGGGCATGGAACGCCATGCCGCTGCGACGGGAGCCCGCTGCGCCGGGATCGCGGATACGCAGCAGCCACGCGACGCTTGAACATGTAAACGCAGCGGCCGGAGGTCGGAGGTCGAGCCAGGCAGGAGCGCTCCAGGGGTACCCCAAGAGCACCCTCCCCCCCACGACCCACTGACTGACTGACTGCGGCCCCCCCCCCCCCCCCGCGGCCAGTCAGAAATGCAGTCAGTCAGTCAGCCAGTCAGTCAGACAGTCAGTCAATCGCTCCGGCAGAAAGTCAGTCAGTCGGTCAGTCAGAAGTCAGTCAATCAGTCAGTCAGTCAGTCAGAAACTCAGTTAGTCAGTCAGCGGACTGTCTGGGGCTCCAGGAGGCCCCCGTAAGGGAGCAGCACATCCGCTGCACTTAAAGGCCCCTTAAGTGCAGCGGGCTGTTTTGGTCTCCGGGAGGCCCGGCTCGAGACATCCTCAGAACTCGTGCGGCCGACCGAGTGACGGACTGACTGACTCACTGACTCACTGACTCATTGACTGGCTGCCCGGGTCGGGCGGGGGTCAGTACAATATGGCGCAACATCGAGTTGGCACGCAAGTATCCTAACGGGGCGGGGCGGGTCGGGTCAGCCGGACCCTCCCGGGTCGGGACGGGTCTGGCGGGACATTAAAATATAAAGCATATTCGAGTTGGCACGCAAGTATCCTAACGGGGCGGGTCGGGTCGAGTCCGGCGGACCCTAACGGATCGGGTCGGGCCGGGTCGGGCAGAGCCTAACGGCTCGGGCCGGGTCGGGCGGCTCACAAAAGTGTGGAGCATCATCGAGCTGGCACGCGAGTACCCTAACGGGGCGGGGCGGGCCTGGTTGGGCAAACCCTAACGGGTCCGGTCGGGTCGGGCCGGGCGGACCCCAACAGGTCAAGTCGGGTCGGGTCGGGCGGACCGTGACGGGTTGGATCGGCAGGGCCAGGCGCGGGTCGAGCCTCGAAACCCGCTCCACGGCAGCATCCCTCCTCCTCCTCCTCCCTCCTCCACCGCCTGCGCTCTCACCTCCTCCTCCTCCTGTTCCTCCTCCCCCTCCTCCTCCCTCCACCCTCCTCCTCCCGTCTCCTCTTGCCCCGGTTCCTGGTCGGATGCCCGTCGGGATGAGGGCTGCTCCCAGGCTGTGCTACCTCGGGCTTTTGATGTGTTGGGGAAGCTCTACGACGACGGCGGCAGCGGCGGACCCTAACGGGCGGGTCAAGTCGGGCCGGGCCGGGCGGGACATTAAAGTATGATGCATCGCCGAACTGGCACGCGAGTACATTAACGGGCGGGATGCCATCGGGTCTGGCCGGGCGGGATATTAAAATGTGAAACATGGTTGGACTATCACGTGTGAATCCTAACGGGCGGGTCGGCACGGGCCAGGCGGGACATTAAAGTGTGAAGCATGGTCGGGCTAGCACGTGTGAGCCCTAACGGGCGGGTCGGGTCGGGTCGGGCGGGGTATTACAGTGCGGGGAATGGTCGGAGCAGCACGCGTGAGCCCTAACGGGCAGGTCGGGCCGGGCCGGGCGGGACATTAAAGTGCGGAGCATGGTCGGACTAGCACGCGTGAACTCCAACGGGCGGGTCGGGTCGGGTCGGGCGGGACATTAAAGTGTGGAGCATGGCCGGCTTAGCACGTGTGAACCCTCACAGGAGGGCCGGGTCGGGCCGGGCAGGACATTAAAATGTGGGGCATGGTCGGATTAGCACGTGTAACCCGTAACGGGCAAGTCGGGACGGGTCGGGCTAGCACGTGTGAGCCCTAACGGGCGGGTCGGGTCGGGTCGGGCGGGGTATTACAGTGCGGGGAATGGTCGGACCAGCACGCGTGAGCCCTAACGGGCAGGTCGGGTCGGGCCGGGCGGGACATTAAAGTGCGGAGCATGGTCGGACTAGCACCTGCGACCCCTAACGGGCAAGTCGGGACGGGTCGGGCGGGACATTGCAGTGTGGAGTATGGTCGGACTAGCACGTGTGAAACCAAACGGGCGGGCCGGGTCGGGCCGGGCGGGGCATTAAAGTGTGAAGCATTGTCGGACTAGCACGGGTGAACCCTAACGAGCGGGTCGGGCCGGGCCGGGTATTAAAGTGTGGAGCATGGTCGGACTAGCACGTGTGAGCCCTAACGGGCGGGTCGGGTCGGGTCGGGCGGGACATTTAAGTAAGGACCATGGTCGGACTAGCACGTGTGAACCCTACGGGCGGGTCGGGACGGGTCGGGCGGGACAGTAAAAGTGCGGAGGATGATCAAACTAGCACGCGTGAACCCTAACGGGCGGGTCGGGTCGGGTCTGTCGGGACATTAAAGTGTGGAGCATGGTGGCCCTAGCACGTGTGAACCCCAACGGGCGGGTCGGGTCGGGTCGGGCGGGACATTAAAGTGCGGAGCATCGCCGAAGTAGCACATGGGAACCCTAACGGGCGGGTCGGGTCGGCCCGGGCGGGACATTAAAGTGTGGAGCATGGACGGACTAGCACGTGTGAACCCTAGCGGGCGGGTCGGGTCGAGTCGGGCGGGACATTAAAGTGTGGAGCATGGTCGGACTAGGTCGTGTGAACCCTTACAGGCGGGTCGAGGCGGGTCGGGCGGCGCAGTGAAAATGTGGAGCATGGTCAAACTAGCACGCGTGAACCCTAACGGGCGGGGCGGGTCGGGTCTGGCGGGACACTAAAGTGTGGCGCATGGTGGCCCTAGCACATGTGAACCGCAACGGGCGGGGCGGGTCGGGTCGGGCGGGACATTAAAGTGTGGAGCATCGTCGGGCTAGCACGTGGGAGCCCTGACGGGCGGGTCGGGTCGGGCCAGGCGGGACATTAAAGTGTGGAGCATGGCCTGACCAGCACGTGGGAACCTTAGCGGGCGGGTCGGGTCGGGTCGGCCCGGACATTAAAGAGAAGATCGGGGCCGGCCTAGCACGTGTGAACCCTTACGGGCGGGCGGGCGGGTGGGGTCGGGTCGGGCGGGGCATTTAAGTGTGGAGCACGGTCGGCCTTGCACGTGTGAACTCTGGCGGGCGGGTCGGGTCGGGTCGGGCGGGGCATTAAAGTGCGGAGCACGGTCGGACTAGCACGTGTGAGCCCCAACCGGCGGGTCGGGTCGGGTCGGGTCGGGCCGAACATTAAAGTGTGGGGCATGGCCGGATTAGCACGTGTGAAACCTAACGGGCGGGTCGGGTCGGGCCGGGCGGGACATTAAAGTGTGGAGCATGGTCGGACTAGCGCGTGTGAACCCTAACGGGCGGGTCGGGTCGGGTCGGGCGGGACAGTAAAAGTGTTGAGCACGGTCGGACTAGCACGTGCGAACCCAAACGGGCGGGTCGGGTCGGGTCTGGCGGAACCCTAAAGTGTGGAGCATGGTGGGCCTAGCACGTGTGAACCCTACCGGGCGGGCCGGATCGGGACATTAAAGTGTGGAGCATCGTCGGACTAGCACGTGGGAACCCTAACGGGCGGATCGGGTCGGGCCGGGGGGGCATTAAACTTTGGAGCGTGGTCGGACTTTCACGCGTGAACCCTGGCGGGCGGGTCGGGTCGGGTCGGGCGGGGCATTAAAATAGGGCGCATGGTCGGACGAGCACGTGTGAAACTTAACGGGCGGGCGGGCGGGTCGGTTCGGGTCGGGCGGGACATTAAAGTGTGGAGCATGGTCGGACTAGCGCGTGTGAACCCTAACGGGCGGGTCGGGTCGGTCCAGGCGGGACATTAAAGTGTGGAGCACAGTTGGACGAGCACGCGTGAACCCTTAAGGGCGGCCGGGCGAGTCGGGTGGGGTCGGGCGGGACATTAAAGTGTGGAGCATGATGGGCCTAGCACGTATGAGCCGTAACGGGCGGGTCGGGTCGCATCGGGCGGGACATTGAAGTGCGGAACATGGTCGGACTAGCACGCGTGCACCGTGGGCCCTGGACAGGGCGCCTCCCCCCTGGACAGGGCTCCCCCCTATCACCGGCTTTCAAAGGCAAGAAAAGCTACGAAATACCAAGCAAATCAAACCTATATCTTCGTCCACTTCCACGACATCCTCCTCCTCCCCATCCGCTGCACTTAAACCCTCTTAAGTGCAGCGGACCGTTTTGGCTGCCCGACCCGCTCACCGCCGCCGTCGTCGTCGTCGTCGTCGCCGAAAAGGCCTTCCCCCGCTCCCCTGAACGGATACCCCCAACACACCACCGAAAACCTCCGAGAACTGCACCCAGGATTCCCTTTCGCTCTCCGAAATCCAGCCGGGTGCTGGTTGTCACCCTGAACCACAACACGGCCTCGAAGGGCTATGCATGTATATGAATACAAATATAAATAATATACAAACAATCAAATAATGATTACATAAACAAATAGCCTAATACATCCGCCACCGTGCCTCTGGGCGCGGAGTGGGCGAGTCCTGAGGTCCTCTGCCTCATCCCCTGAGCCTCAGTCCTCAATCCTGAGGCATCATTAAGGGGACCAGAGCCTAAATTTCCAAATCTCCCGGTCCTTGCCGCTGTTCCCCTGGGGCTTGTCGCGTCTGGTCGCGTGACTTGTTCGGCCCCAAGAGGGCCCCAAGACGGGCCAAGAGGGCGCCAAGAAGCCCCCAAGACGGCCCAAGAGTCCCCCGAGACGCCCACAGAGCGTCCCAAGACGCCCAGGATGGCCCCAAGACGGCCAAAAA